TTCCGTGTCTTCAGCAAAAATCAAGATAATTGAGTCAGGGCTTCAGAACAGTTAGAATCAATGGATTTGGGAGCTGTGAACTGGGAGATTGTGATTCAAGATGAAGGAGATCCAAAGTTCAGGCTAAGGAGGATCCCAAGGACTCTTATTTCAAGAGATCCTGCCTCTTCTTCTAAATCCTAATTCTACCAAGAGTCTAGCTAAAATACTTTAAACAAATGTGCTTGATGGGAGGCAATCCATTTGGTATGATGTTCTTTTCTTTTTATTTCTTTTCCATATGATCTTTTCTTTTTATGCATTTCAGGCTTTCATAAAACCCAGAAAAACCAAAAACATTAAAAAACCAGAAAAATACAAAAAAAATAGGAGGAAGAAACCGGAAACCGGAAAGAAGCAGGTGAAACCGGAGCCATTTGCTGCGGCCGCGATCACCTCAGCTGTGGCTGAAGCTCGATTCACCGCAGCCCGTGTCCCTCAGCCGCAGCAAAACCATAGTTTGCCGTGGCCGCGCATCCCTCACCCGCGGCCAGCCCTGTTCTGCTTTCCGACTTGTTTTCCCGATTGTAGGTGACAATCCTACCAAGAGTCTAGCTAAAAAGCTTTAAATAAAAGCGCTTGATGGGAGGCAACCCATTTGGTATGATTTTTTTTCCAGAACTTCATTATCCCGATTTATTCCGGGATTAAACCGGGAAGTTCTCGAAACATTATTTCCGTGTTAAACACGCCAAAGTAAGTCCTAAAAAGCTTTTAAAATAATTTTTTCTTAGAAAAAAAACCATTTTAAAAGAAAAAGAGGATTTCAAAGATCAAAAGGCTTTTTTCATCATCTTTTCCAACAAGCTTGGAGATTTTGAGAAAAACGACCAGATTTCAAACTTGACAAATCTCTTTCAAATTTTCGAACCTGTCTTACTATTTTTCAAAGGAGATTCCAAATCTATCATCACATCACACTTTCATCAAGGTATAGATCCAATTTTTTTACTTTTTTCTTATGAACTCAAATTTAGGGTTTTCTTAGAATGAGTAAAAATTCATCTTAGAATGATTGAAGATTGTCTTTGAACTTAAGACTAGACTTCTGGGTAGTTTAATTGCATGATTTAACACCTAGACCATATAGATTTGAAATTTTTGAAAATCTGAGATTTGAGAAAATCAAAATTTGAAGAACTGTTTGATTCAGCTTGGCAAATCTGGATTGTTTGGTCATTGTTGATAGATAATATGATTAGATTGCATATGAATGAGCATTAACATCATCATGATTTATAAATCTCATATGTTGAACATCACTATATCGAATTTGACCAGAAACTCTCAGATTTTGCAATGTTTGATGCAATTACCGTTTGTTTGTCATGTGAATATGTTTGTGATAGTTGTATGAACATCTTTGCTCATAAATATCGATCCAAAAGCAGCTCCACTTATTCTCTGTCTTGAGAATTTTGTTTTGCAGGCCATGGATCTCTCTCAGGTACGACTCATTCGAACCAAGAAGAGCCCTCATGCAAAGAAGCCCCACTCGCAGGAGACATACGATGCATTAAATGAGACACAACTGAGTGATATGAAACCTTCTCCACTTTCATATCAACACAAAGAAGAATGTTTTCAGGAGAAATTGAGAGAGCCCCACTCGAAAATCTGTACCTTGGAGAGCGAAGTCTTCCTCTAGGCCAAAGGTGAAGTTTGTTGGTAAAGCCATTGATCCAGACATCAACTACTTGGAGCAGCTTCAGAAGCTGAAGATTAAGCCAACTCCAGCAATTGATTACTCTACTCTTGAGAT